CAAATGTGCACTTGGTCGGGTTCAGCCGCAACTGGTACTTCCTCATGATCTGGAAGCACTCCCGGAGGTCCCGAGTGTGGTCGGATCGGTCCCGACTCTTGACCAGCATGTCGTCAATGTAAGCTTCCATCGTTCGGCCTAGCAGATCGGCGAAGAGCATATTGATCATCCTCTGATAGGTCGCTCCCGCGTTGCGGAGGCCGAACGGCATCACTCGGTAGCAATACAGCCCGTCCGGGGTCACGAAGGCTGTTTTGCTCTCATCTTCATGATGCATCATTATTTGATGATATCCTTTAAATGCATCCATGAAACTCATCAACTCGGCCCCGGCCGTCTCGTCGACCATCTGATGGATACTCGGTAGAGGATACGGGTCGAGCGGACAGGCCTTGTTGAGGTCGGTGAAGTCAATACACATCCTCCAAGCTGGGGGCTTAGGAACAAGGACAACGTTGGCCACCCACTCGGGATAGATCACCGGAAGGATGTGCTCGATATCCGCCATTTTCTTGACCTCTTCTCTGACAAACTCGCGGCGATCGGAAGAAAGGTGCCGGGTCTTCTGCACGACCGGCTTTGCTGCGGGATCGACAGCCAACTTGTGACAGATTACCGATCGGTCGATCCCGGCATGTCTTCGGGCCCCCATGCAAAGATGTCGGCATACTCCCGGAGTATGGCCAAAATTTCGGCTCGGAGCTCGGGGGTGAGGGCCCGGCCTATCTTAATCTTCCTGTCCGGCGGTCCTCGGACAGGGGAACTTCCACTATTTCCTCGGAAGGCTCGGGTTGTTCCTTCCGGTCTTTTGCCTCCTCCTTGGCAATGGTGTTCACCCGGGAAGACGGACCGGAGTCACGTCTGTTGACCGCTCGGGTGTAACACTTCCGGGCGGATTGGACGTCGCCGCAGACCACACCGACCCCATTGGGGGTGGGGAATTTCATGCACAGGTGAGTCATTGAAATTATCCCACCAATCTTCATGATTGCGGGTCGGCCCAAAATAATGTTGTGGACACAATGGAGGTTGACCACAACGAATTCCAACTCCGTCTTGATCGACTTTAGAGATGTGCCGATCTCGACTGGGAGCATTATTTTCCCTTTGGGGTAAATGAGCGCCCCGGTAAATCCCGACAGTGGTACATCGACCGGAGTCAGCTCCTTCCTGTCAAGTCCAAGCTTTTCAAACACGTCCAAATAAAGGACGTTCACACTGCTCCCAGAGTCCACCATAACCCTCTGGACATCCGTCCCTTTAACATCAATCGTGACCACGAGCGCCTCCATGCCGTGGTAACCGCTGCTGGGTGATCTTCGAGGGTGAAGGTTATGGGCTCCATCTTCTGCCTCTTCCCGGTGTCCCGGGAATCTACAATGGCAACCGGGCAATTACCCCTCGATCGCGAAGCATCGTCCAATCCACCAAAAATAAAGTGGATGGTCGGCTTCCCCGCCGATCGGCTGCTAGACGGGGGGTCAGGGTCCCGTCGGTCATCTCGACGGTCGTCTCTTCGGTCCTGACCTGACCGATCGGAGCGTCCCTCACGATCAGAACGATCGGAACGGTGATGGGAGCGCCGGTGATCTCTCCGATCCGTATTCTTCTTTGTGTCTTCTCTCTTCCCCACTCACTTGTCCAACTTTCCAAGATTAAGCAGGTCCTCCAAGAGTTGGCGCAAGTGGGTACACTCTTCAGTGTCATGCCCGGCACATCGATGGTAAGCACAGTGCTTACTCTTGTCAGGGCCGTCTCGATCGGGATGGGGGAGTTTGATAAGATTGCAGGACTGAGCGTACTGCATGGCCTCCGCTACGGATCGGTTCAAGGCCGTAAACTCACCAGGCCTGGTGCAGGATCGGAGATGATCATCACCCGATCGGTTTTCCGCCCGGCTGGCCGGTTTACGGGACGAAGACCTGACCTCCTGCGAGCGCTTTACGGCATTCGCCTCGCCGGCGTTGGCATAATCTGTGACCCTTTGGAGGGCCTCCTCATACGTGGCCAAGGGGTGTAGGATAAAATCCTAGTACAAATAACCCGCCCGGAGGGAAATGTGAAGCATGTGGGTGGCGGTCGCATCATCCATGGGCTCGACTTCCCCGACCGCCGCCTTCCACTTGACGAGGAAATCGGTCAAGCTCTCCCCTTCAAGTTGCTTGGCCTTCTCCAAGTACATGTAGGACTTCCTCACCACCTTAGAGGTGATGAATTTCCTCACGAACTTGATTGCCAGGGCGTTAAAATCTGCAATTGAGCCTGGCTGCAAAGTTCGGAACCATTCCGCCGCCCGACCGGTGAGCGTGGAATAGAAAGCCCTACACATCACGGCGTCTGATACGCCCTTCAACATCATGTTGCCGTAGAAATCATTGACATAGACCTCAGGGTCCGTACGACCATCGTAACTTTTCTCCCCGGAGACCTTCAAATCAAGCGGGTAGGGCTGAGCCATTACCACGGCAGTGAAAGGCGTCCTGAGCAAGGAGGACTGGTCGACCGGGGGTATTGCAGGGTGCGCGTTCCTGAATTGCGCAAACTCCGCCTGGAGGTTATAGAGCAATCCTTGGGTCTCGTTGAGCTCGGCCGCCTGAGCAGCTTGGGTTGCGTCCCGAGCGCGTCATCGACGGTGAGATCTCGACCCGCTATGCCCGGATGAAGCCTCCTGGCTGACTTCCTGCATCTGTACATCTTCCAGCTGCCGGTTTGGGTCTTGGGGCCCCAAACATTGTCACATCGCCGGTCGAAGACGATCAAAAGCTACCGCTCGGGTAACTTCTTCGGGGTCCTCCGCTCGGGCTGGGACCTCCGGTGCTTGCTGGGCCTGCCGTGGTGCCTCCATCGCATCAGCACCCCCCAACCCCAACCGCGAACGAGCCGAGCGTCAAGCCCGGGAAGTGGATTGATGCTGCGGCTCTACTTGTGCGACCGGGTAGACTGGAGGGGCGGCGGCTGGAGCCGTGTACGCAGGCGTGAATGGTGGGTATCCAACCGGGGGCGTGTAATACATCGGTTGGTCGGGCCAATACCCATACGGTTAAGGTGGGACCGGGTATGGATACTGGCCGAGATACGGCATCTACTGCTGCTGGTATTGCGGACCGGGTGTCTGATATCCCGATTGTATGTAGTTCACCAGCTGTTGGGCGGCCGGGTATGTATTGGATGGATGGGGTGGTGAGAGATTGAGGTTGAGGTCCATATTCTGACCTTGCTGCTGTGTCGCCGGGTGGTCGGATGAGGTCGCTGCATCGGCCTGATCGTCGGCGAAGAGGTTTTGTGCCCACGGATACATGGTTGATAGAGACCGGGTGCTCGTCAAGACGTTAGCTTTCTTGCACGGATCCCCACAGACGGCGTCAAAATGATAGTGTTAATTGCGGTAATTAAATAACTAAGAGACCAATTAAAGCAAGTAAATAACTCTTATTGATCAATGAAGGCCCTAAGTACAATCTACTTGGTTGCTCTGAGTACCGACTGACTGCGGTCGGGATTCTCTAACAACAACCTATCGATCGTCCAAAAGTCCATCACACTGTCGCTATCGCGGGTATTTATAACCGCGGAGCCAGAGACACAAATCCGGCCGTTCGGCATGCTTCCCACGTAGCAACCACGTGTCGTCGTCCCGGGTGCCCTGCCTGTCAACGCGTGGAGCCGCCACGTGTCCCTCGTCAGCTCTCTCGCTAAAGGGCTACCGCTCGGTAGTCGACACTGCCGCTCGGGCAACTCCCGGTCGGACCCCGACCGGGTTCTTCACAAGAAACCCGACCTGTTACCTGCAAAGACAAGAAGAAAAAGACAAAGGCACACCGGTCGGGGTAAAGCTATGTCGGTCGGGATATTCCCTACCATATATATATATATATATATATATATATATATATATATATATATATATATATATATATATATATATATATATATATATATATTTGATTATATAAACATATTATTATTATTATTATTATTATTATTATTATTATTATTATTATTATTATTATTATTATTATTATTATTATTATTATATAAGGATTAGTTTACCAGAGCAAAGTTGGAATAATTCAAGGTAATTTAAGATTACCTAAGAAAATTGGGACAAACATATTAGCCCCACATCAGTTTTTAGGTAATAGGTAATCTCATAACTTGAACCAAATAAGAAAATATAACATAATCAGACTCATATTACCTAAGTAATCTAAGATTTCATGAACCAAACGCCCCCCCTAAGAGTTTTTCTACATGGACTTTCTATTTATATTGATACAATAATGAATGATTTATCTTGTGGATCCAAAAAAAAATTGTCAAACATCAAAATTTTGTTAGAGGAAGTAAAAGTTTACAGTAGAATTTGGAAGTAGAAGTATGAATGATTAATTATCTTGTGAGTCCAAAAAAAAAAAAAAAAAAAAAAAAAAAAAAAAAAAAGGTCAACATCAAAAATTAGCGTGAGGAAGTAAAAGTTTATAGTAGAATTTGAAGGTAGAAGTAGGATTTTCTATATATTAATTCAAGTCATCATGCAGTACAAAGGAAAAGTGGGAAGGCATAGAAAGTCATTCCTTACGATCTTGACTTAAATAAAACTTCTCTAGCGGTAGTATGGGCTACCTTAGACACCTCACACCCCAGCTCAATAAGATTGTGGAATGGTAAATCATGATGACTCAACTATTAATGAGACTAAATTTTTGTTTACTTCACACAAGTAGTCTCCCTCACTTGAGCCACTTGAGTTGAGAAATTGCTCCCACGTACTCTGCGCACTAGTGAAACTCTTTGGTCTCTTATGATAAATTCCACATTTGCGACTAGTTAAGCTTCCCACGACTCAAATCAAAATAGACAATAGACCATTTCAACTAGAAGTCAAACTCAATTGTAATATTGTGGTTGTATCATTTTTCAACCTTAGAATTTGTAAAGTAGGGATAAACAAATTCTTAAATTTATACTTATGATAATAATTCAATTTGGAAAGAATTAGTTGGAATGTAAAAACATAGGATACAACGTGGTTTAATTTAATAGTTGGTGTCCTTTTCAGTAATATTGGAGTCAGCATCATGATTATTATTAGTGTCCGGCTGGTCGCACATAGGGGTGGTGTAATAGAAAGGTCCCATCTCATACTTAGTGAGGCCTCTGTAAACCACGGTGGGGCGGCGGAGCTTTATCCCGGAATTTCCACCGGCGAAGTCAGTGGGGATATTGCAGACAGGGTCCGGGGAGGAGACCAGCCTTAAGAAGCAATTATGGGGATTAAGAGGCTTGCCATAGCAGCTGGTCTTGTTTAGAAGCAAGTCAAAGCCTCCAAGTTCATCTGTGAGATCACTCCCATAGTACATTACCCTCCTCCTCTCGTCTAGGCACGTAACAGAGACCACTGAACCTGAAAAATCAAAATCAACCCAAAATAAACTTCTCACCTTATAAACATGTCAATTAACCACATGCTTTCTAACTGTCTTAACCTTATTAGTCGAAGTTAAGTTTGAAGTTGGACTTTTAGAGCCTATAGTCATTTGTCAACTAGGATCAGAATGTGTGATTTATTCGGAACACATCTTCTAATGACACTAGATTTCTAATCACTCAAAAAGAGAATTAATTATGAAATTAAGCAAAACTAGCTACCTTTGATGGGCTTAGCGCCACTGACCCATTCATTCCATCCCTGGGTGCAATCTTGGCACAGCACTTTGCCGGAAACGTGAATGGAATCTGTTCCCTCTGCTGCTGCCATTAAGAATGCTACAATCATCACAAAAACAAACCACACGCTCTTCATCTTCTTCTCCATCCTTTGCTTTGCTTTGCTATTTCTTGATATCTTTTTTTCTTGCCACTACAATTAAGCTTCAGTTTAAGACGATCTGATCTATATATATAGGTGTGCGTATGTAGTATGTAGTGGTCTGTCGATTCTGTGAGTCATGGAAGGGCACTACCTACGACGTGCCAACCATTTTAATGGGTCTGTATGTAATATGTATCATGTATGTGTCTTTCAAGTAATATATATAATACACAGGTACGGTGTACGTGCTCTAAACTTATTTAATTAATCTAGTTTACATAACATTAACAAACCTTAATTTACAGGGTTCGGTCCAACCCAATAAAGCTAATCAAGCTATTAACTTGATAAATGGTAAACACTCTCTACAAGTTCAATTCTCAATGAGAAAACCTATTGGTCATGTCCTTTGTCAATTAAGCTCACAAGACAAGTTTTAACCAATACACATCCTCAAAAAGTGACCATGCTCCTATGAGAACTCAGGACAGGATAGATCTACACGAAATCAAGTGATCAATGGTGCATATTAAGTCAATAGGGAGCATAATTACACTAAAATTGTCAACTAAAGGGCAAATTAGTCTATTCTTTAATTTATTTATTTCCATGTAGCTAGTCCTCTACATAATTAAGCCTAAACTCAAATCATATAAACTACTTTATCTCCGTATATAAATATTGTGAGGGGCGGGGGAGGGGGATTCCTTAGTACTTAGTTCAATGGTTGACTCACATTAGCAACAGAGAAAACTTCTAAACTATACAATGCAAATTCTTTTTAATTAAAAGGGTATTGTATATATAGTGTTTCAAATTCACTTATTTTTTCAATGTGGGATAAAGGCTACTTACAAGTAGGGCTCTCAAAGTGGGTCAAAATCCGCGGGCTGGCCCGCACCCGCCCCACAGTGGGGCGGGTTATGGCCACCAAAAAATAGGCCCGTGAAAACGCGGGCCTAACGGGCTTAGCCTGCGGAGGGCCATAGCCCGCGCGGGTTGCGGGCCTACCCGCGGGCCAAGCCCTTTAAAAAAAATATCTGTATATATTATATTATATAATATATAAATTATAAAATATAATAATATAACAGTAAAGAAACTGCTTAAGACTAAAGAAAAGAGGTAAAACCTAAATTTCTAATCCTAATCCTAATTGACTACTGTTTACTGTCTCTCTCTATATATAATATAATATAATTGTTTAAGACTAAAGAAAAAAATCTCTAATCCACTAGGCAACTTTTATTTTTGTTTTTATTTTGTCTTAAACTTATAAAGTTTATTTATAATTAATGAAATGCATTTTGGCATGCAGGAATATGTTCCGCAGTACGATGAAATAGTGTCCAAGTTGATCTGGGAGGAGGTTGGGATTGAAGACTAAATTAGGGGCCTCAATATGTTGTCCTTTCAGTCACAGAAGAACAAATCCTAGAAGAAGAAGAAGAAAAGATGCTTATTAGACATTTTTTATTTTTTTTTTAAATTTTAACACCAGCCCGCGGGCCAACCCGCGGGGCCCGCAAGCCCGCATGGGGCGGGCTTGGGTTGTATATCTCCTAGCCCGCGGGCTTCGCGGGCCGGCCCGCAAAAATCCGCAAAAAGAAAAGCCCGCGGTGGGACGGGCCTAATGGGGCGGGCCAACCCGTTTTGATAGCCCTACTTACAAGTCTTCCCATCTTTATTTTTCAACTCAAATGAGTCTATTTGAGAATTAATTTCTCATTTATCTATTATCTGTTTTGAGCATACAATATATAAATCTCTCCATCTTACTATGAAAAATCCAAATCCACTTTGACCTCGACTCGAATTAAAAGTGGAGTCTATATATACTTGTACTACAAAATAGTCACTTAAAATGTCATTTTACTCTATTTTTTCCAACATAAAAAGAAGCATGCATGTTAACTAGTTTGCAATTGTATTTTACTCTTTCTTTATATATGACATATCTAGACATTCAAACTCCTCTCATGAACACAAATATCATACTTAATTGTTTACCATTATGAAATTAGTCTCGTAAATGTTGCAATATTAGTCACTCCTCAATAAGGTTGTATTTTAATAATTAAATTTATGTGGCAATGCCTGGGCTTGTTTCCAAATGAACATGAAATGCCTCTTATTAGACCCAAAATTTCAAAGCCCAAGAAGTTGTGAAAACTCAAATTTCAGAACTACGTATATATTAGTTGGCAATTTATATCCTGCACCAGGGCGCGCATTGTATTATGCGCCCTTATGCAAAACGACGTCGTTTTAATTTTTAAGAGGCACGGGACGCACAGTGCTATGCGCGCTATGGTGCAAGTATAACGATTGATATTAGTTGGCTTCTCAGATTCAATTTCAAAAATCCCCCACAAAAGATGGAATAGACCATCGGATTGTACAGATTTCTTTTTTAAAAAATTAAATTAAATTAAAAATTAAATCAAATGTTTCCTAAGGTTGGCAACTTTAGTAAAGAATTAAAGTTGTTGATAAGATCTGGATGTTTTTGTTTTATTTTATTTTTTCTAATTTGATATTTTATCCTCACAAGTCACAAGTTAAATTGTGTGCTCAGCTCAAAGTTTCCAAATTAAACGGGAGAAACCATAAATATTAAACAATTAATTAATTAATGGCTACTGTTGAGACAACAATAAAGATTTTGGTAGCGTTGAGCTGTACGTACAACTAAATTATTAGAATAATAATTAATTTCATGAACATTTCTTAGTTGCGGTAATTACCGAAATTATGGAACAAGAAAGCACGTTGGTCAACTCATTTGAGTGTTGTCACATGAACAAATCGAATGTGGACCCCAGGGTGTTGGACAAAGATGTTATGATGGAATAACATGAAGAAATTTCTTTTGGAAATCAATAAACATACCATTGTAATAATTACAATAATTCAACAATACACTATACAACTATTATGTGTAAAACTTATATGCACTAATGATAATGATAATCATTTACCAGTCACTTATAATCAATTAAAAAAAGCTTCTAAAATTGTCCTCAACTCAGTTAATATTGAACTTGTAAGATATGTGGAAATTAAAAAAACATTGTTTCTTTTATTTGAAATCCACCGTGACTAGCAAACTTGTTACTTTTACTTGTTATTTATTTATTTATTTATTATTATTATTATTATTATTATTATTATTATTAGTAGTTATTTTATTATTATATTTACATTAAAGTGGAATCAATTTTTTTTAAAGTGCGAGAGTATTGCAGGGATAAGGATATCCTAATGACCTCAACCAATTCATAAGCAATTGTTAATATGCTGGATGAATATACGTAAGCATTTGTAGAAAGAAAAAAAAAAAAAAAAAAAAAAAGAAGAGGAGATATTTAGTTGGTGTATGTTTTTAGAGAACAAAATTAAGTAACTGATTGCTTAATTTTCTTGACAAAGCTTTTATCTTGTATAATCATGGCCTCATATAATTAAGAGTCTTTCATTCCATCTTTAAAACATTATGTAGGAAGAATCTAAGGTATCATGCGTTTTTGAATGGTTATGCTTTTTTTTTTTTCTTTTTCATCCAACTTGATATCGAGGTGCCCTTCAATTCGTTGGCCTCAAAATATAGCCATAATAAAACACGTTTTCTTGATAAGTTTGATTTGAGAGAATACTTCTACAATAAGTTTGGTCAAAACTAAGATCCATTAAAAATTAGATTAAGTTTAATTATTGTAATATTGATAAAATAAAATAAAAAACAGGGAAAACATGAGCAAGTGTCGGACAAGCACAGGGCATATGTGTTTATTGTAAGCCAAACTTGTATGTTAAGCTTCCAGGGTCCTTAGTGCAACAAATTAAATGATGACAATCTCACATTCATCACACAAACAAAAATCGCTTCACTCAAATTAAAGGCAACGACACAATTTTCGAGCTGTTTTTAGTACAAATTAAAGAAAAAGAAAGTCAAATAAGCCACCCTTTAATTATTTGTATTTTGAAAAAGACAAAAAGATTAAAAAGTAAGGATATAAATATATAATTAAAAGTTTTTAGATTAATTAGAACAAATTATTTCACTTTCTTATAAATAATAATAATAATAATAATAATAATAATAATAATAATAATAATAATAATAATAATAGATGATCAAAAATGATCACGCCACAATAATATTAGAACCAACATGAGATATTTTGAAAAAAATATTAAAAGCGGAACATAGAGCTGTCAATACGAGCTGACAGGGCGGGCCACAAACCTAGGTGGGACAGTCCTGCAATTATATCGTGCACTAGGGCGCACGAAGCATTGTGCGCCCTAGCCAAAACGACGGCGTTTTGGTCATGTTTTTTTTTTTTTTTTTGAAATTCTGTTTCTCATTTCTACCGTTAACTTAAAAAAAATAAAATATCATGTTTCGAATATACATAAACTCATAACAGAATATACATAATCTAACATAATACATATACACAAACTCATAATAGAATGCACATAAACTCTTAACAGAATGCACATAAACTCTTAACAGAATGCACATAAACTCTTAACATAATACGCATAAAATCTGAACATAAAAAAGGATGTCGTTTTGGTCAGGGCACACATTGCATTGTGCGCCCTAGTGCACGATATAACGATTGGGACAGGCAAAAACGAGCATGTTCCTTGGTGGGCTGCTATTTTCGAAACTCACCCCTACCTAAGTAAGGAGCGAGACGGGCCGACCTAGCAATCGTTATGCTGTGGAACCGTGCAAGGTAGACACAGTTCAATGTCCATAATTACTAAACTATATGTTCATAATTATAAAGCTATATATTCATAATTTTTGAACTTCATATTCATAATTATTGAACTCTATATTCACAATTACAGAACTATATGCTCATAATTACTGAATTATATGTTCACAATTATAAAGCTATATATTCATAATTTTTGAACTTTATATTCACAATTATTTAATCTCTATATTCATAATTACAGAACTATATCCTCATAATTATGTTCACAACTCTATGATCATAATTATAAAACTATATATTTATAATTATGAACAGTTTTGGAATCGTGTCCACCTCGCAAGGTAGACACGATTCCACAACATAATTTGTCCCGACCTGACAGGCAAAGCCTATTTTGACGGCTATAGCATAATGTCACTTAGAATTTAGTAGTTATAATAAAATTAACTCGAATTTATAATATTTGTTTAATAATAATCAAGATCCTCTATCATTAACAATTTATTAACATGAGTCTTCAAGATTGAATTTTGAATCATCGGTCTACAAAAATGTTAGCGGGGGTGATTGGTATATGGAATATGTTTGGAGAAAGAAAAATGTGGGCTTTTCTGCATATGTCGATGTCGTACCATATAAATTATATATATATATATACATTCATGTTCATGCACTTGTGGCATTTTCTTCTGTCCATAGCGTTAGCAAATACTCACTCGTAAAAGTGAACAAGCAGCCGAAGCACGCTTTCTGCTTTACAATCAACCACCGAGCCGAGCGATTCAGCAAATTCTCCCTACAAATTTCTGATCTCATGTTCTAATTCCTTCTTATTTTGTTGGGCACTACGATACAGAATTTACCCAGTATTTGAGGGCATGGCTGGCGTGGAGTTCTTGATGCTGCTGTCAGTGATGGCGGCAGCCGCCGTAGCCCTCCCGGCGGTGAAGGATGCCTCCGGGACATTTCCGAATGGGGTCATAACTTTGGAAAGGGCTTTCCCGGCGAACGAGAAGGTGGAGGTCGAGGTGGTTAGAGCTCGGGACCGGTTAAGGCACGCTCGAATGTTGCAGAGTCTTTCCGGTGGCATCGTCAATTTTTCGATTGCGGGGTTGGCGGATCCAACCTTCGGGTACTTTCATCCGAACCCATTTAGGAAAATAAAAATTGAATCTTTGCCTCTAAATATAACACGGTTTGTAGTTTGGTGAATTTGGAAAAGTTTTTTGTTTGTTTTAGTTCTTTCTGTACATTGAGGTTCAGTTCATTTAACTGTTTAAATTTTGAGAATAAATTTGAAGCAATTATATTTATTTTTATATATTACTTTTGTCTTTGTATGTATTATACATATATTTACTTTCTATGACTGAGAGATTAGTGGAATTGGACTATAGGCATTTGAGAATGTAAACAGGGAAATTATCCCTCATTTTCTTTTGCTTTAAACTTTTTCCATTGGGCTTTCTTCAATGAGCAGGGTTGGGGTTTGAAACTTCTGGAAATTGATGCTACAGAGTAATAGAAACATAAAAGTTCATGTTATATGTATGACTGTCATACAAAGATTACATGGATATTCATAATTCTTCATAGTTGATGCCTTGATGGAGATTAATCCAGTGCTACTTTAACGAACCTGTGTTGGGTTTTCATAAATAATGTGTTCTGAATTCATAGTCTTGCATTTTATATAAATGGATTGGCTGTATTCGTTAACTCCTTAAAATTTCGTTTATCCTGGTTTCAGGCGGTTTTTTCTTTCTTCCATACTGTTTGTTGCTGACTTACTAATAACCGTTATCTCATTCTAGATATGTTGAGTTGACACCCTTTTAATGTGGCGTAAGTGCTGATATTGACTATTGTTTCTTTTTTTTTTCTTGATGATTTTGGTGTAACTGTAGTCTTTATTATGCCAACGTCAAATTGGGGTCTCCACCGAGAGAATACAATGTGCAGTTCGACACTGGAAGTGACCTCCTGTGGCTTGCATGCACTTCCTGCCAAGGTTGTCCAAGGAGTAGCGGCCTTGGGGTAAAAGAGTCTGCTCCTTTCCAGTTTAGTTGGCTTTATGCGATTATATTTGCTATGAGTTTTTCTCTGACAGTCAATATGCAGGTCGACCTCAACTTCTATGATGCTGCCAGCTCATCCACTGCTTCACTCATTTCTTGTTCGGACCATATCTGTTCTTCTATTACTCAAACAGCCTATGCCGAATGCTTTTCTGAAAGTAATCAGTGCGGTTACTCATTCCAATATGGAGATGGAAGTGGCACGGCTGGCCATTATGTATCTGATGTGCTATACTTTGACATGGTCATGGGTAACTCACTGGTCATGAATTCTTCAGCACAAGTAGTTTTCGGGTGAGTTGTTTGGGGTCATTCATATTGTTGAACTCTTCACATTGAAACGTTTGTCTTCTTCAACACTTTTTTTTTTTTTTTTTAATGTTACATGAAAACAGGTGTAGTACCTCACAGTCGGGGTCTCTGACTAATGGATATAGAGCAGTTGATGGGATCTTTGGGTTTGGCCAACAGGGCCTTTCTGTTATATCACAATTGTCATCACTTGGGATTACTCCCAAAGTTTTTTCACATTGTTTGAAAGGAGAAGAAATGGGTGGAGGGATTTTGGTTCTTGGTGAAATTTTGGATCCAAGAATCATTTATACACCCCTCGTTCCATCACAGTACGTATTTTTCTGTATAATAACCTTTTCTCTTTTGAGAATTTGTGATGGATTTCTATACCTTGTTTCTCATTTTGCTGTATTAATTATATTAATTGAGCCGAGAAGCTATTACCAGCATATAAACTTTCTCAGAATCTGTATTGTTTATCTGCAGGCCTCATTATAATTTATATATGCAGAGCATTTCTGTGAATGGGCGAGTATTGCCTATTGATCCGGCAGTGTTTGCTACATCCGGAGATCGAGGAGTCATTGTAGATTCTGGCACAACTTTGGCTTATCTTGCCTCTGAAGCCTATGAACCCTTTATCAATGCTGTAAGTTTGTCTTCTGTTCCTTGAGATGTTGGCTAATAAAACGTGTCTTACTATATCCCAAAATTTCATCCTTTTTGTATACTTATTCACAATCAATGACAAGTTGGCTTAAGGATGTTTCACTGCACCGAGTGACGTGGAATTTGTGTCGAGCTGATTTTGGGGGTATTTGGTAAATAGCTGTTAGCTTATTGGGTTAGTGGGTTTGACTAGTTGATAACATTAACTGATTGTAAAAGATGTTTGGTACATTAGCCGTTAGCTGATAGCTGATAGCTGATTACATGCAAAATGACTTTTTCAATAAGCTGATCGGAAAAGCTGCTTTAAGTAGCTTTTTGAATTTTAGCGTTTTAGAGCAATAAGCTGTTACAAAAAGCTAATTAATCAAACACTCATATTGGCTGTTTAACCAAGTCAAACAGCTAATAATGGTCAAACAAGCCAAAATTGGCTGATAAGCTAACTATGTTACCAAACATGGCCTATATGTAATCCCATTTGCCTTCTTGTTCGGCAGATAAATGACCTGGTTTGGCAGTCTACCAGTCCCTTTGTATCTAAAGAAGGGATAAAGTGCTATGTCGTTAATGCGAGGTTCATTCACTCACAATTCTTTACTGTTATCTTTATACTCTGAAAATGGTTAGCGTGATTGATTGGCCAACCATGTATCCTTATCTAAAGCAGCAGCAGCAGCATAACCGACATATTTCCCCCAGTGGTTTTGAACTTTGATGGTGGTGCGACCTTGGTTTTAAGACCAAGAGATTACCTTTTCCGTTATGATCATCTCGTGAGTGATGAAACCTCTTGCATTATTGAATTTGTTTCATGACAAACATCTTAAACGATGATAAATGATGACTGTATCAAATGATTTTAACAGGACCGTAATGAAGTATGGTGCAATGGCTTTCTGAAACATGAGCTTACAATTTTAGGAGGTCAGTGCTTGCACTGACTCAAAAGTGAAGTGATATGCCCCCTTCCCCTTGTTTTCCGAAGGTGAAGGCAGTTGTGTAAAATTAACTAATCCTTTTTCCTATCTCTTGATCCTCAGATCTTGTTTTGAAGGATAAAATCGTTGTTTATGATATAGCCAATCAGAGGGTTGGATGGGCCGACCATGATTGTAAGTAGCAAAGTTTCAACTCAACATTTCTTGCTATCAAAATGAGGAATCAACTCTAACCAACTGTGTTCACATACGTTCTACTTGCAGGTTCCACAACGGTTAATGTGTCCATAACATCTGGCAAGGATGAATTCACCAATGCCGGACAGCTGAGTGTGAACCGTTCACCAAGAAGCGCGTTCCATAAAACGCACATATTGTTTCTGATGATCGGTTTCTTATTATAGTGACTCACGGTTTCCTATCCAAGTGATTTTTTCCAATTCATAGCCATAGCAAAGGCAGCTCACTGGCAACTGTGTATCTCCTCTTATCATTAGGTCACTACCTGAAGTTGTGCTTTTTACTCATCTAACTGGAGATCAAAAGCTTCCAATTTGTGTTGTAAATTATGTTTGTAGTTGGGTGATAATCAAGGTATAATGCTTTGTAAGCATGGCTGGTTCCATTTTTTGTTTTTGTTTTTTGGATACATGCAATTAGGGTTTGTTGATGAACAAGGATTTTGTATATAGATATCATTTGTTGCAAATGCAAAGTAGTTATTTTATGTGAGAAATGAAATATATTCATATATCTTAAATGTGTGATTCTTGTTCATCACATAAAAATTCATTCTTGTTCTACTAAATATATGTCCAGTATACAACAAAAGTATGGCCACCCCCCAGATTTGGGTTCAATTTTTTTCCCTCTAAAACAACATTGTACAAATGATCCTACCATTTTGCAGTTTTCCCAGAAACACAAAAAGGAAGTGACCAGTAAACAACAAAGAATGTTAAGGAACTAAATATCAATAGATCAATCAGTCTTGCAAGGCATAGAAATGAGGAGCGAGCTCAGCTAACCACAAATAATCGATTCTAGAGATGTTGCGAACATACGTGTAGTTAGTCTGCACTAATTCATTAAATACTATGCACTCGGGTTTTGCTCGAAACAGCACAGAAGACGGGTGGATTTGAACTGTCGAGCCACTTGATAAAACCCTGCCAAATGAAGAGATAATATAGTTAGTAGTGTAAAGGTAACAAGGCCATATGATTTAGATGGGGAAATGAAGTCCCAACCTGTATGTACCATCGGGCTGCTTTAGAGCTGCGTTAAGGAAAAATGAAGCAGCCAAGCACCGACGGAAGATAAGCATGTCATCTCCACAGGAAGAGACCCGAAGACCCATCTGTTCAACGTTCCTGCGAATTTGACTGCAAAAGAACCAAATAAAAAAAAAAAATTATAAAAAAGCTAGACATGTATCATGAAAAAAGTAAATAAATTCCATTATGAATCTACTATAGGTCAATAACAGCCTTCCTGTTGAAATTTATAAGTGCTGTTTGTCAACATTATAGATTATTGTAGTAAACCTGTGAATGTCACGTGCATGTCTTAGGGAGCGGCTGTTGATGAAATTATCCTTGCACCACTTTCTGAGATTCTTTTCAGCTTTCAGTTCGCCATTTGTGATCTTGCTCTTCTCAAAGAATTCGATAGAAGCACGATATACATTAAGCAAAGTCAAATGATCTCCTTCAGGACTGGCAAAGCTTTTCAATGCATTCCGAGACTGCCCAAAATGAAGAGGAACTGTTCAGGTTTACATAGAAATAAATGAAGCTAATATGCAGATAATGGGGGTGCTTGGTAAATAGTTGTTAGCTGGTTGGGTTAGTGTCTTAGTGGGTGTGACTAGTTGATAGCATTAGCTGATAATAGAAAGATGTTTGGTAAATTAGTTGTTAGCTGATAGCTGATTACATGCAAAATGACTTTCTCAAAAAGCTAATCGAAAAAGTTGCTTTGAGCAGCTTTTTGAATTTTACGTTTTGGAGCAATAAGCTGATACAAAAAGCTAATTAATCAAACACTCATATTGACTGTTTAACCAAGTCAAACAGCCAAAATTGGCTGATAAGCTAACTATGTTACCACACAGGGCCATTATATGTCCTCTCAAAAGTCAAAGCTTAGGATTTAGGAAATAAAAAGAGAACTTCAAAGTGCAAAACAATTGTAAACATGACTATTTCAATCCATCCTTGGCTGCAAACATTATTTTTGTTATATTCTCTTATGCCCTTTACCCATGCAAATCTTATAAAAGAGAATAATTTTACTTCACATGTAACTATAGTAGCTTCAATCTATATTTCAGAACTTCACTATACTAACTTTAAGGATTGATATCGGTTGGCCCAAGGAATCAAGGATGCATCAAGAGTGTCACAAAGGCATACCTCTTCCAACTTTTCACGGGGAGCATAAAAGATGGATTCCACAGAGAGCATTGCAACAGATATTAGCATCTCTTCCAGGCAGCCAAACTCACCAGCAAGAATGAGAGCCTTTGAATGCATGGGTTCTAGTGGCAGCCTGGCCATTTGATGCCCAGTGGGATCAGACAGTTCGTTATTTTCTGTTATAGCACCCAACAGAAAGAGAGTCTCCATTGATTTGACCAATGCAATCCTGTTATAAAGGAGGACTCGTGAGGGAGACAAAGCAATATTCATGATGATCACAATGCTAACACCATGCAGCAAACCAGGCACTCAACTAAAATGGTCTGATGACAGTACTGGCACACAAGGAAAAGTTATTTGGCTTTATTATCTTCAAAATGCTTTTTAATAAAAGAGAGCACAAAAAATGTACAATTTACCACTCACTCATTCATCAAGCGTAAATAGCATAGATAATACAGACACCTTTTTGCTTCAGAAAACCATGCACTTAAATAAAATCAAGAATACCTATTTAAATACATGAAAATAGCAACAAACAAGAGGCAGATGCAACATGTAATTTCTTGTAATCACCTCTTTGGTTTATCAATGAAATCAAAATCAACAATATTGTCAATCCCCAGAGCCTTGAGCTGCAACACAACATTTGAGAGATTGCATCTCTTGATTTCTGGAATTGTAGAATCATCAAGTTTCTCAAACTCACTTTCGGGATAAAGGCGGTAGCATTTGCCAGGTCCTTCACGGCCAGCACGACCACTGTAATTAAAGCCAAAAGCCAAAAGAAATTAAGCCTTCATTTCATTCAAAAGCGACGGGTAAAGGAAGTACCGCATTTCGTAATACTAACTTTCATTATGTTTAATACTTCGATACATTTTTTTTTTCATACTGTATACCTGAAGATCATATTTTAAAATAAAAAATAAAAAATAAAAAATACAATAGGAACAAGCAATAACACAATCTCAGAAACCCCTTCTACAAATCAAGAAGTTCCACTTAAATGAAAGACATGATTTTTGCAGGTCACTTCAAAACCCATGTATGTCAATCCACCAAAGACCTAATTCAAGGAAAACTAGTGTGAATGTTAATAAGAGATTCTCTTCTTAAACTTGTAGACTTGGATATTAACGCTATACTAGGCATGGGCCAGGGGAATGGCAACAGATGCTGATTACATGTGACGGTAATTTGCACATACACTTTCACACTAAACAGCTCACCTCCTCTGCAGTGCTTGCGCTTTGGATGTTTTCACAACAATCAGTGAGTCAATTCCCATATCAGCATCATAGGTACGTGCTTTCACCAACCCAGGATCAATGACATACTTGATTCCAGGTATTGTCACTGATGTCTCAGCAATATTAGTTGCCAGTATTACCTAAAAGATGTAGAGAAGATATATAGATTTGGCAAGAACCACATAAAAGTTGGTAATAGGAGAATGCTTGCAGTACAGCAACAGCCTTCCAAGGCAATACCAATGTGAAAAGCAGAAAAGAAAAGAAAATTTTCTTCAGCTTTTTGTAATCTAGTAAATTGAAACAATTTGATAATTCATGGCAAAGGTAAAGTATTAGCTTCTTAGCTCTCCCATAACATTGAAGGTTTACTTGCTGCATAATCATTAATTTATGAATAGTCACTTGTGAATGATTACAGAATAGAAATAAAAAAAAGGTAGTGCACACCTAATAGGATAGATATTTCATAGGTAGAGTGCAGGAACAACAGTAGGTACAGAAATGCCACTGATCTAAATAGAGTTGAATCTCAAGGAAACAACTATAACATGAGCAGCTGAAACATGAATGATTAGACTATCCTAACTCATACAGGAAACTTATATATGGAGTAAAAAGTTCAGTATCATGATGCCAATATCCTCAGGTCTATTCTAATTTGAATCTAAATGGAGTTTTATATTAAATATACCAGTAACTAGCTTTTTTATCAACCCTATTGCCAATTATGAGAAAAATCTAGCATGAAAATAAATCAACCTTACGATATCCAGCTGGTGCAGGCATAAAAACTTTCATTTGTTTCTCAGAGGGAAGAGATGAAAATATGGGAAATGTTAAGAGCTTCTTATTGCCTTCAGGTAAATGTCGAAGGTGGTCATGAACAAGCCTCTCAGCAGATTCAATCTCTTCTTGGCCAGTAAGAAAAACCAGTATATCACCAGGGCCCTCCTCCATATGTATCTAAAATACAAGGAAGTGAAGCAATTGAAAAGTTGTTGCAAAAGATTTTGAACTGGATAAAAAGAGCAGTAGCTCACTAATTAATTGTTTGGGAAAACAACAGCTCAGGGAGGGGGAAATGAAGGGTTCAGACAGCTGTAGTAACTATAGAACACATGTAAATATGTTGAAGAAACAGGTGGTTATGACAGATATTTATTTCCAAAATAGAATTAGATAAATACCTGAAAAATAGTAATCAATGCTGCATCTATGTAATCTGTCTCGGGCTTAAGGGTGTAAAATATATCTACAGGATATTGTCGCCCCTGAACATGAACTGCTCTAGCACCACCAAAGTACTCAGAAAAGACACGTGCATCCAGACTAGCAGACATGATTACCAATTTCAGCGGGGTGTACTTTTTGGCATGAAACTTTTTGAAGATACCATCAGAATGAGCCTCCTTTTTATCCTCCAACGGAAGCTCATTCTTAGGCTTCACACTATCAATATTTACCCCTCCACACACATTTTTTGACCTTGCTTTCTGTACATTCTTCAACAAGCCAAGTAACACATCAGTGTGGACTGTTCTCTCATGAGCCTCATCAACAATAATAACAGAATACTTGGAGAGGTATGGATCCAATAATGCTTCCCTGTAATCAATTAATATATATTATAATATTATAATGGTATAAATGGATCGTTAGAGATATCTGTAGCTATATAATTTTAATTTAATCATTTAAGAAAATGTATGCTTTACATGGATCCCTAACATGATTGTATCAATATATATTATGATATTATTACAATTGTGTAAATGGATCTTTAGAGATATCTGTAGCTATATAATTTTAATTTAATCATATACAAAACGTATGCTTAACGATAAATATTTGTTTTTTCCCCAAATAAAACAGATTTTATGTGCAACAAAATAATATCTCTTGTTACCTAAGAAGCAAACCATCTGTCATGTACTTGATCTTTGTTAAGTTGGAAGTCACATCCTCAAATCTAATGGCATAGCCAACCCTTTGACCCAATTCAACACCACATTCCTCAGCAACTCGTTTTGCGACAGTTATGGCTGCAACACGTCTGGGTTGAGTGACCCCAATAATTCGACCATCATTACAAAATCCTCCATGATAAAGGTACTGAGGTAACTCTGCAACAATGCGGCCAGTTAAAATTAAAATATACACCAGAGGGAGGAATGGCAGTTTGGAGAATGCTCTGTTATCTTTGAATGAAATTTTATAAAAATCTTAAAGACATCGTGATTTTTATAATTTTATGATCGATAAATGTATCCATTTTCTTTTGGAAACCCATTTCTTGAAATGGATTTAATGAATCACTTAGAGGCCCTTGAAGATTGTCTACGACTCTATGGTAACAGAGTGCTACAAATTGGCAATTTGGTCAAAGTTTTTATCCCCCAAACAACATTTGTAAAACCATAGGTAAAGGTTCCTGCACCAAGCCTACAAACCTACATTATGTGGAAAATTCCCTGGACCGTGTCATGACCAGAAAGCAATATGCATTTTTATGCTCTTAATGAAATATTGGTAAAGATTGCAAAGAAGAATACGGAAACAGAAAACAAATTTAATTTATCAGCTGATATAAAAAATCTAAAGATGGAAGCCACATAGGAGAATGATATCAAGTAAAGATTAAATTTTGTGCATTGGGCAACAATTATATACATTCTTCAAGAAATGTCAGTTACCAAGCCTTTTCTTCAATCCCCGAGCATGAAAACTTACGTGTCGTCTTTCCACTACCAGTCTCTCCAACAATTATTAATGTGTCATTGTTGTGTACCTCCTCAACAAGCCGCTTTTCAACTAGACAAAAACCAACATATTTAAGTACACTACTATGCAATTCTCAAACCATTAAACAAATGCCACAGAAGAATAATAGTTACCGGTAGCAATTGGTAAAGATTTTCTTTGTTTTTCAATGTTTTGCCGCCTGCAGACATTAAGAAAGAGTAAGAATATATACAGATACAGAGACGCGAGTATTGATAAGAAATTGACACATGACGTTAAGACACCTACCTGAGGAAGTCACCTTTCCTGTTATTTAGTTGATTCTGATGATGTTTGTGTGGGGAATTCACAGGATTCGCCATTGAAGGCATGTGTTCGAGCTTTTGTCACAGACAAAGGCAATAAATTCTATCAAGTTTTCAAGATTTGCGGGGCGGAGAAGGGCTTCCGACTGAAAGTGGAGCCCTAAGAAGTGATTTGAGAAGAGTAGACCGTTTTAGTGAGCCGGTTTAATAGTGGGGGAGCCGGGAGGGGTTAGAAGAAGTAAGCCGCGGCGATTGGCGGCTAGAATAAGACCTCGCCGGCAAGCCAGCGACAGCGTTGGAGATATAGCGGCGCTGCTGTGAATCTGTGATGTTGGCCCATTGGGGGCGAGTAAGTAATTGCATCAATCAAATAAAATTTTAAAGGAAAAAATACAATTTTTTTAGTCCTTTAATTAGAGTTAATTAATCCTTTTTTTTTTTTTTTATATCATAACATCCTCATTTGTTTCTAGTATTATTGTGGCATGATCATTTTTAGTTCACCCTTAACAAAATCACTGAAATATTGTTAAACACAAATATATTTTGATCTTTTTTATATAAAGTAAATTGACCTGCTATATTTTTTATATTTATTTTTTTTTTAAAAATCATATTTGAAAACCAAAATACCCTTATATTTAATGATATTTAAAGAACAACAAATGATTATGTCACAATAATACTATGATAAAAATAAATTTTCTAATTTTTTAAAAAAAAAAAAAGACTAAAGTAAACTGTCACCTATAAATCTAATCAAGAATTTAAATAATGAGAAAGTAACAAACGGCCTTATAAGTTACAGAGCCGTGAAAACAAGAGTCAAATATATATTTGCAAACTCGAAATAATTCTTATTAACTTTTTTACAACAAATTGTGGGTTTCTATACTAAACCAACCAGACAGACAGAAAGATGTTTGGAGACTAAATCATAGTGCAGTTATCCTTCAATGACTTTAACAGCAGTCCTGCACAATAAGAAGAGTGTTGTTATGACTGAACAAAGTGCAGACACTGAAGAAAACCAGATGCTATAACTTGCTTACCCAAATGGGCTCTGTTTGATTGACAGCAGTTCCACATCCAACTGCATTTCAAAAGAGAGGAAGCTTAAGGACTAAGAAGTAAGAAAGATCGAAAGGCACGAAAAGAAGCTTGAAAAGAGACGGTTAAGCCCGCACGGGTAACTCAGTTGATTCCTGGGTGGCAGATTGCGGGCTAGGACGCAAGATTGAGTCATGGCAGCCGCAGTGTGGGAGTGTTGAGCATATAACCATTAATGTGCAATCCAACTATCAGCTTAGGCTTTTAGTTGAGATGGAGCACATGCTTCAATTTGATATCAGAGTCAGACCAAAGGTCATGAACCCACCGCACAGCGTGTTGAGCATATAACCATTAATGTGCAATTCATGCTTCAATTGGGAGTCACACGGAATGTGGTGGGCTCTTTGTGGGCACCAGACACTGGTCCTCCCACCTAATGGGTTGCTGTGACTATATGAAGTGAAACAAATGATAAGCTTTGAAATCAAAACATCACCTCGATAGTTGCATTTGGAGGGATTTCCTGAACCCCTTTGTTTCCGTAAGCTAGATTAGGAGGGACTATCAGTAAGCGCTGCAAAAATTTAGAACTTCAATTCAGTTTTGTTCGGCCTTCATTATAGAGTGGACATATCATTTATCCTCAGTTACACTATCATATATACAAATGGAATTAAGAGGTTCTTCGAGAATATAGTACCATCTCATACAGTACATAAAGGAGGACATGCCAAATGCAAATCAATGAAAAGCATAAACTATAATACAAATTAATCTCACCTGTCCTCCCACTCTCATGCCTTGAACACCAAGGTCTAATCCTTTAAGGACTGTCCCTCGCTCTGATTGGCCCACATCAAATCCGTAAGGCTTCATCAAGGAAACAAACCGTATTACATTAGATACAAACGCATAACACTTGTAAGTACCAGTTGCTCGGTATTGATCACTTTGAAGTTTGAAGGGAAACTTTTGGCAACTTTCATAAGCTATAACGGCCAGACTTACGAGTGATACATGGAAATACCAACAAGGATGAAAAGGAAGTTTATGACAGATTAATCAGAGTAACTTTAAGAGAAGCATATTTGTTGCTTTTGCAAGCCACAAATTAAGATATATAACTGAGCATGAAACCATGATGGAAACAATGAAACGAAATAACCGGCAATGATAGACGCAACTTAGTCATACCGTTCCACCTCCAACGCCCATTCCTTGTCTGCTTGTCATAAACGTAATGCCTCTCCATTTAGCAACATAGTGGACCTATAACGATTTCATAATACTAAATTTCAACTTAATTGTAATCTTTAGCCATATTGTCTGAGGTAAACAAAACTAATGCACTTGTGAATTTAAATTTCAACTTTGCCACAACCGTACTGCAACTCTAGATCCCTTCACAGCTTCAGCTCCATTCCCAATCTTTAGATCATAGTACCTGCAGAATTAGTATCCCACCATTACAGGGAAGTTCAAGAAACATCCTTAACTACTTCCTCTAGCAATGGAGATTCCTTAAATCCCATGAAACCAAAATTGAATCTAAATGGAAAACCCAAGACTGACTTTAGACCATTAGGAAGAGTTGTATAATCACTCTCAGGTATTTTTGCACCTCGAAGCTGCAACAATAAAGAAAAATTTGCCCACTAATTAAGAATGTATTTAGCACAATCTTATCACTAATCTAGATGAAAAGGAGAATCTTACAGCTCTTCTACTTGTGCTAACAGCGCTGGCCACATCACAGAGATAAATGCTAGCAGCTGAACAAATAAAGAAACTAATTTAGCCATGGGAAAACTCAACCTAATTCATTAAACTGAATGATTTCATTAATTGATAGAAAATTGGGGGAAATAGAAGCGGAAAAAGGAAACCCATGAAAGTGATGGAGCTACCAGTTGACAAAACGCAGCCCATTAAGGCCCTTCTTCCCTCATTCTGCAAAGACAAGGTTTTGATTGTGGGCTCGGGAGATGATGATGAGCAGCGACAAAGTAATATTCTTGACTTCCACTTTCCTGTGCATTCAAGATTCAGTCTTTACTTACATGGTAGTTTCTATATGTCTATATTGTGTGTGTAGAGGAAGAGAGAGATAGAGAGAGAGATAGAGAGAGAGAGAGAGAGAGAGAGAGAGAGCGCTTAACTGGTGGGAGAAATTGAGGGGAAAGATTGGGTAAACATGGCGGACTTGAGAGGATGGTAGAGGAGGAGATCCATAGTCCGACACATGCAGTTAGAGTGACAGTTGAGACTTGAGAGATGGGTATCAGTTTAGTTTTGTCAGATTTTGAGAGGAAGTATAGAAAGGGGTGGATAATGCCCATAATATTAGCCACAATTTCATATTTTCTGTTTATGCCCATTAAGATACTCAATATAAATTCTTGGTTACCTTAGTTGATTTGATCAATCACCTTAAATCATTATTCCAGCTTTAGTGTGGGGATTTTGACTAATTAAAGGTGATGAAGACCGGCCCGTGAGACTAGCTCTGTTGGTTCGACCGATTATCTTAAAGCCTTGTTCTAATAGTAGTGTGGGTGTTTTAACCAATCAGATGTGATGAAGGCCCCTATACACAAAGTACATAGGAAAGGAGTGGTGGGAACCCAGGGAATGACTGAGTTACTCGCATAGTATAACGTAAGCTGGAAATCTAATGTAAAAAAAAAAAAAAAAAAAAAAAAAAAACAAGAAGATAAATTAACCCCAAAAAATCTTCTAGCTTTCCTGCCTTGATGAAAGATTCTTTTCCAAGAAAGTAAAGCAATGTTTTCTAGTATCATCATGTCACACAAATATACTTATGATTAATCTTGTGTCAAGTTGTATTTGAAAAAATTAGCATTTTTCATGTAATTATTGTGTGTCTAAAGTTGATTGTGTTTTTAGTTCATAATTCCTAAATGAAACAGATTTAGTTGAAAATAAAGAAGTTTTATTACTATCTTCTTAGTCCCAAATGCTGCAGAAATTGGAGGAAACAGAAATCTTAGGCACTGGAAAATGAGTTTCTTGCAGGAAGAATTAAATCCCCAGCAGTGGAAGAATATGAATGATTTGCAGAGCTGTTGGTGTGATGCTTCTCTTTCTCATCCAATTTATGCTTCATCTTCTCACTCCATTTCTTGAATTTTTGAACCAGTTTTTTCCTCTTTGAATGATCATGAGAGTGGCCACCAATTGGGAAGCCTAAGCAAGACTCATGCTGCCCCACTGAGGAACTCCTCAGTTCATTATCCGATGCAAAATCTGCAATTTCTCCACTGTCTTCTCCGTTATTGTTCACCTCCGACTGGTTTTCGTCTTCTTGGTTCGTTCTCGTCAGCTCGTGCCTCAAGCAGGCATTGCACCACCTTAGGTATACCAGTTCTTTCTCTTCTGCTGCCTTACTTTCATGGAGTTTCTCGAGCTCGTGCACTAGTTCTTTGTAATCATCCATACTCACCATTTCTGCATCGTTCTGCAAAGTAAGTTACACACATTTCTGTCAAAAAAAAAGCTAGATTTGAATCGCGAATCGCGTTATCAAACGAAGAATGTTCATACCTTATAGGAATCTGCTTTTCTTAGAAGTTCATCCCTCTCATGCTGCAATTTTTCAAGAGCCATTTTTACCTGTCTAAAGTCTTCCTCTATCTTGTTGATTGTATCATCCTTGTTTCTCAGCTCTGCTTGGTTTCTTGAAATTTCTGCCTCTTTTGCTTTAAGCTGAAGGTTTTTTGGATTAACAGCATGAGAAAGATGTTTGGTTTTCTTCTGGAGCCTTTTAACCCTTCTATGAAGCAAAACATTTTCTGATCTTGAACATTCAAGCAACTCTATAATCTTCAGATACTCTGCTACCATCTTCTCAAACCTCTGGCTTTCTCCTTGCAACGCAGAAATTTCCCTTTCCAATATTTCAATCTTAGTTATCTCCATCAGAGACCTGTTCTCTTGCTCTTTCAAGAAATTATAGTAATCGGATCGAGTTTCCAGCTCTCGTTCTCTGCCCTGACTATCTTTGATTTGACCTTTTGAACTGATAATTTCTTCTTGCAACTTACCTGTATTCTTGCCAGATTCTGGGCAGGATAAAGTTTCTGAATCAAGTCCAGGGAGGCCACCTTCATCTCTGCAAGTCCCAGCAGGTTCATTTTCTGGAGAATTTTTGTGACTTTGTAAAGACGAAGCTTGCGAAAACGAACCCTTTCTTTGTGTGATCCTAGCAATGATGAAACCAGCCACAGTAACAGCAAGAGGGATTCCAGCTTTGAGCAGAACAGGCTTCATGGCCTCCATCTTTGAGCTTGTGCTCTCCATTTTATGAATCAACTTAACCAGGAGTTCAGAATTATTAGAGTTCAAATGGGGCCTTAGGGTGGTGATTTCTTGGTGCAGAGAGTGGCGTTATATGTAGCAAGATTCCTTGCCATTTATGCTTGCTTTTAAGCATTGTTTTGGTTGGAGAATGAGTGGTGTGGATTACTTTTTGGCCACTTAACCCATGCCCATTTCCCATCTCTAATTCCCCTTGCTATTGCATTTGGAATATGATTCCTTTTTGATTGATGGATTGGTTTCCACCTTGACATGCATGCTTATTGTGATCTATAGTAGCAGCAAAATATATAGTATACATGTTGACTCCTCCTCCATTCTCCCTCTGTCTATGCTGCAAATGATTATTGTTCCACTCAACATAAAAAAACTGATTTGATACCAGTCGCAACACTCTCTCTCAGTTAAACCTGTTGCACATGATCTTTCTAGTGCAATTTATTTTTTATGTGTGATTTACTACACATCAGTGAGAACTATCCAATACACACCGATTAGATATAAGTCTAACACATGTGGTAATTAGTGCTTACTAAACTCATTATTTGTATCACAACTCTCCTTGTTATTCTTTTAGAAACTGTTAGTAACCTGAGTCTCGTATTAAGAATCCGAGACTCAAGAAAACAAGGAAGCACTTATCATGATTTTTAAGCGTGTAAATCGCTGTTCTAATGAAATCATAACTTCTGAAATACAAGATGTGAAATCTCACCAATTATTTTACAAAATTTACTAATGTTGTAATTTGAGATTTTTTGTCTCAAAGAATCTCTAATAAACTCATTCTAAGAACCAAGAGATTCAAGGCAACATATGAAAATAACATTTTCATCATTCTTTTTAACTCTCTCCTTACAACCACAATTGTTATACCTTAGAACCTCAATTGTTATACCATGGACCAGGGTCCATCTTGCATTGCGGACCCTAGTTCAAAAATTATGTACCTGCTATTTACATATTATGTACCTGTTGTTAAATTTGTGTGCATTAGAATAAATTGAAAGTACATAACAAGTTCACTGTAGACATATAATATGTTGTTTAACATATTAAGTGTTTGCAGTTCACATATTATATGTGTATAATTAACAAGTTATGTGCCTTCAATTTATTTACACTACATACACCACATAAACTCTTTAACTGTATGTATAAAATATGTCAATTGTAGACATAATGCAAGATAGACCTTGATGGTATGATCCATGATATAATTTGCCTTGAAACCTTGGTATTTATAACATTCAAACAACTACCTCCATAAGCCACTTTAATTACCAAAATAAATATGGATGACACAGAAGTTTATATAACTTATATAATTATAATTTTCATAATGATACAAATAATTTGCATAATAATCTACATAACTATCAGATAACATTTACTAAATTGAGTAAATATAATAAATTAATATCATATTCCCTGATCTATCAAATTATTTCTTAGGCAATCAACGGAGAGATGTCTATAAAATCTCTCCATTAAATATCAACCTGATAAAACCCAGAAGATTAGTTTAACTTTTTCTGTACTTGCAACTTTTTTGATCAAAATAATAACAAAATTCTTTACAAGTTTAAATTAATTTATGTAACCCCCAACACTAATATATACTCCGTATATATTATTTAAATTTTCGATAACCATGTCTGAACACATAACATTTAACTATTTATTATATAAATTTCTAACAGGAACTCCATTGTTGTGTTATAAACTTAATTACAACTTAAGATCTCTTGAACAATTTATGGGCACAAGAATGATGTTTACTCAAAATTACAATTAAGCACAAGTTTAGAATATTTATTTGAGGCAGAAGTATAGTATTTTTTTTTTGAAAATTATATGATGCTTCATTAAAAATAGGCCGAAATAATATCCGGTGGGTGCAGATCCCAATACATAATTGCAGTTTGCTAATAAGCCGTAGTAGCTAAAGCATGAGCTAAATGGTTCTCTACTCTAGGAATACAATGAAACGAACAAGACTGAAACGAAGATGCAATAAGTCTGCAAGTGTCAATGGCATAGCCTAGATATGTGCGCAGCACAATAGTTGGTGTAGTAAGATAGTGATGTAGTGTCAAGCAGTCCGTATAGATCTCAACATTCTGTTCACCCCGATCCTTCAACCATGATAGAGCCTCCTTACATGCGAGCACCTCTGCCATAAGTGGTGAGGAGCATCCTTGTAGTGGTCCACTGAATGCCGAGACATACCCCCGTCCGAGTCTAGTAACAGTACCCCCAAAGTAGCTCGTCCCGTCTCCTGCAAATACCCCCCGTCCACACGGCATATGCGCCTTGGCAGTCCAGGCGGTTCGGCAGCAGTGGAATCTGGCGCATGGAGGTTGGCGTTTTCTTGCGTCGGATTTGGCGCTGCTAGGAGCGTGGTGGGCGGTGCCGTGTGCTGCTGTGGGTGCGCCCGAGACCAAGCCAGCTTGGCAGCAGCGGCTATTCTGAGGACCACTTCCGGCCGTGGCAATGTTGCTTCCCATACGGCCCTGTTCCTTGCTCTCCATATATTGTAAAGTATTGCTACTGCATAGAATATCCCATCAGAGTCTAGAACATGTAGAAGTTCATCAAACCAAACATAAAAAATATTTGTGATTATATTTGGAATTGTGAGGTTAGATTTATCCCAAATGTTCTTTGCAAAATCACACAACACCAATGCATGCATTATGTCTTCTTGAGATGATCCACACATGGCACATCTTGGATCCACCTCCACCCTCTTTATAAGCAAGTTTGTAGTAGTGGGCAATATATCACTAACGGCTCTCCATAGAAACATTCTCCATTTTGGGGGGATTTTTAACTTCCATAGGGATAACCACTTTGTAAATATCCCATTAGTGTGTTGATAATTTCCCACTACTTGCTTATACTCACTTTTAACAGTGTACTCTCCTCTTAGATCCCCATGCCAGTACCAGGTATCATCATATTCCGGGGAGATGGGTATTTTCATAATTTCCGCCACATCACTGGGTTGAAATAAATCAGTTAAGATTGAGGGATCCCAGGCACCAGTTTGCTGATCTATCAAACCTGCCACCTTGGTTTCCTTCAACTGTACTGGCATTTCTGTTTGTATCATTGGGTCATGGTCATTTCGTAGCCAAGGGTGGGTCCATATGAATGTGGATTCCCCATTACCAATTCTGCGCCTGACCCCACCACAAATAATACTCTTTGCTGCCATGATGCTCCGCCAGCAGAAACTGGGATTATTTCCCATCTGTGCATCAAAGAACGATCCTTTCGGAAAATACCGGGCTTTATATACGCGTGCTACTAGAGAGTCAGGCTTAATCAACATTCTCCCTCTTTAAATCCTAGCCCACCATATTTCTTTGGTACACATAGCTTATCCCATGCCTTCCAGTGTATTCGCCTGTCAGTTCCAGAATCCCACCAGTAACGATTCATCATTCTTTCTATCGCCGTACACACTGATACAGGTAACAAGAAAACACTCATTGAAAACGTTGGCATAGATTGTGCTACAGTTTTCAAAAGAATTTCTTTCCCTGCCTGTGATAGCAGTTTTTTATTCCATGATCCAATCCTTTGACGGATTTTATCTTCCACATACGCAAAAACTGCTTTTTTGTGTCTTCCAATAAAAGAGGGGAGTCCCAAATACTTGCCATAATTCGGTGCCTGTGCCACACCCAAAATCTGAGCCACATCTTGTCTATTTTCCTCACTAGTATTTCTGCTATAACATATACTCGACTTGTGGTAATTTACCGCCTGCCCGGATAAACTCTCATAAACAGACAGACACCTTTTAACCTCAGTTGCTTCCTCCGCCTTGGCCTTAAAAAACAGTAAACTATCATCTGCAAAAAATAAGTGAGAAATCGGGGGGCTCCCCTTGCTACCCTGCAGCCATGCATCGATCCCACAGTATGTGCCTGATGCAACATCAAAGATAGACCCTCTGCACAAATAATAAATAGATATGGGGACAAAGGATCCCCTTGCCTTATTCCGCGAGTGGGTATAATCGGATCACATCTTACTCCATTCACCTGAATATTATATGAGGCAGAGGTTACACACTTCATAATCAACTCCACCCAACCAGCATGAAATCCCAGCGCCAACATCATCCTTCGTAAGAAAGGTCATTCAACCCGATCATATGCCTTTGCCATGTCTAATTTAAGGGCACTCCATCCCCCCATTCCACATTGTTTCCTATTAAAAAAATGCCCCACCTCTGCAGCTAATAGTATATTATCCGTTATCAATCTATCCGGGATAAATGCGCTTTGTGACTCAGATATTACCCCTTCCATTAACGGCTTCATTCTATTAGCCAACATTTTTGCCATAACTCTATAGACCACATTACTGAGGGCTACAGGCCGCAAATCAGTGACATACTCCGGAGTTTTCTTCTTAGGGATTAGAACAATATCAGTCTCAGTCAAACCAGGCGGGAAATCACAAGACTCAACACAATTAACTATAAAACTCGCCACATCTCCCCCAACCACATCCCAAAAATGTTGGTAAAACCCTGGATTCATTCCATCCGGACATGGTGCCTTGTCCGAAAACATCGCAAACAGTGCACTCTTAACCTCATCCAGTTCAAACGGACGCAACAAAGACTCATTCTGTGCCTGCGTGATTCGCGGGACAATTCCCTCAAAGAAATCCTCCCAAGTTCCGGGGGTTCCAGCAGAGAAAATACGATTATAATATTGCAGAATAATATTTTTCATAGGCTCCCCCTCAACCCAATCCCCATTATCATTCATCAATCTAGTAATAGTATTCTTCTTTTTTCGGTGAGAGGCATACCTGTGGAAAAACTTCGTATTCGCGTCAGCCTCCTTAAGCCAGTGTTGCTTGGCTCTCTGTCTCCAGTATGTATCCTCCTGAACTTCTGCACAGCTTAACAGCTGTTCTAGGCGCTGAAACTCAGCTAGGGAGGCCGGGTCAGTACGCCCCCTCAGACGCTGCTGCTCTCTTGTCAATTCATTAATCCGTTTTCCGTACTTATGGTACCGGTCTCCACCCCATCGTGTTAACTGGGTCCCACAATACTGAATACAGCTCTGCAAACCCTGGCCCCTCCCCTCCTGCCAGGACTGCTCTACCACCCTTATGCACCCCTCATCATGCAACCAGGCCATCTCAAAACGAAAACCCCTTCTGCGAGGCCCAACACCCCCACCGGAGTCCTGAATCCCCAGAAAGAGAGCCGAGTGGTCAGACTTCCGAGTTCTCAGATTCAACACCTTAGCCCCCATCACCATACCCCGCCACTCGTCCGTTACTAGAACTTTATCGAGCCTCTCCTCCATCCAGTTTGCTGTCCCCTTCCCCTTCTCCCATGTGTAAGGATAGCCAACCATAGGCAGTTGCGCAAGACCACAGTCCTCAATAGCTTCCCCAAAGCCACATAGGAGGCTATTCGGATGCGGATTTCCCCCTCTCTTCTCATTCTGATATAACAAATCATTAAAATCTCCAATAACAACCCAGGGGAGGTTTGAACTACCCGACAGCGTTCTCAAAAGATCCCATGACTCCGCACGTCGTGTTCGTTCAGAAAATCCATAATAACCTGTCATTCGCCATTCAGGAAAGCCAGGAATAGTTACCCCAACATCAACGTAGTTCGTTGAGTAACTGATTAGCCGAGCCGTACTATTCTTCTTCCACAGTAGCACAATTCCACCACTTAGCCCATCACTGTCAACATAAAAGAGTCCTTCGTAACCGATTTTAACACGTAACCGCTCTGCATGATCACGTGCCACCTTAGTCTCCATTAGAAATACAAAATCAGGTTGCTTTCAGGACACCATGTCCACAATCTCCCAAACTGTCCGTGGATTACCCAAGCCACGGCAGTTCCAACTTAAAGTACTCATTGATTCGGGCGGGTCTGGGAACCAGAGCCCGCCTGCTGCAAGTTTTTTGGAATCTCAGCCATGACAATATCACCTCCATCGGACCTACGTCCCTCCCCCTCCACCTCCCCCCGGCGACGCTTGGCTACCGCCACCACCTCCGGCTCAACCACCCCCTCGGTCCGGTTCTCACCTTGCGAACCCCCCTCCACAACCGCTCGGTCAGCTGGCGGTTTCTTTCCCACGGCATGCCGACCCGTCGGCAACAACCAGCTGCCCCCCACCGGCCTAGGGCCACGACTCCCTCCTGCCCGTAGCTCCGGGCCATACAAGTACTCCTCCACCGGCATCTTCGAGTCCCTTGCCCCCCGACAGAACTGATACGAGTGGCCTAACATCCCGCAAAAATAGAAAATGTATGAAGGCGTTCGTACTTAAACATGACCCAGCAACTCGTGTTATCTCGCTTAATGAAATTCATTCGTCTCTTCAAGGGTTTATCAACTGGCAACGAAACCCTAATACGGTGATATGTCTTCCACGGGGCGTTATCAAAACGATCATCATATTTCACAAACGTACCCATGAAATTTCCAATCTGCTCCAAAATTCTACTAGATGAGTATCCATTCGGCAGCCCATGTAGTTGAACCCATAAATCCACCGTATCCAGCACTACATCGACCGGCATAACTCCGTCAGGGACCTGCTTACACACCAGCGTACTATTATCAAAAGACCAGGGCCCCTCGTTCAAAACCCGTTCCATGTCCGTTACATGATGAAAAAACAAACAGGAACCGGCCAGGCTCAACCTCCGTTGCCTCAACCCCGCTCACGGGCTGCCATACCGATGCCAGGACCTGACTCATAAATTCCAACCTGACTAGCTTTCGTGTCAAGAATCTCCCCACCACCCCCCAACTCTCCTCCACCTCGCCGCCCCCCTCCTCGGCACCGTCCCCTTCATTCGGCAGAAACGCCGTGGCTTCCTCCTGGAGCACCATATCAGCCCATTTATCCGTCAAAGCAGCCACATCCGAATCGGTTGGCGTTGTAGCCTTCACGCATGCAGAGATAAACGTCGTTAGTTGTTGTTGTCGAAGCCGGAACTCGTCCGTGAAAAAACGTCGAAGGAACGACCGAAATACCTAGAAACCCTAGGTAGAGAGAAAACTGCTCTTTTTCAAAGCCAACAGGCAGAAGTATAGTATATTAGACTTGAAAATCAAAAGGTGTTCAAGAAAGTGTTACGCTATTTTTTATTCCTTGTCTTTCACTTTTAAGTGCGAATTTTACTATCATATTAACATATTTACAATTCATTATTATTCTTTTATACATCTTTATAATTTCAACTCCCTTCAAAATCTAGTATAATAATAATATTTAAATTCATTATTAAAAAAGTACACAATATGGTTAAAAGTTTTTATTTATTTGAAAAAAAAAAAAAAAAAAAAAAAAAAAAAAAAAAACTGCAATGCATAGTTTTTGAAAGGAGTAAATGACATATGAAGTTCTTGAAGTATAGTGGTTTTGTCACGTTTATCCCTAAATTTTCAAATTGACCACCCTTGGTCCTTCGACATTCAAATTATTATCATTCGTGGTTCAAGTTCACCACTCATGGTCTTTCAACTTTCAAAATTTAACCAGTCACGGTTCTCCTAGAAGGACAATGGGGGATTAGAATTTGATAGTTGAAAGACTATAGGTGGTTAGCTTGAACCACATATAGTAAAAATTTGAAAGTCGAATGACCACATATAATCAATTTGAAAGTTTAGGACTAAACATGACAAAACTGTACTCGGAGGACTTCAGATGATATTACTCTTTATGAAAGCATTCAACAATTGAAACCATGCAATTACTGCAATTACTGTTTACATTAAAAAAATAAAATCTAAATGTACACCCATGTCGGATTAAAATGCACTGCATTACCTCCACTGGTATTCGGTTGAGCCCTTATGTGGGAAGTCTAAAGTTCGAGTCTTAGTGTAGGCGTAGATTGTATATGTGGGTATCCCCTTTCTTTGTAATAAAAAAAAATAATAAAAAATGCACTGCATTTCTTTGTGACCAAAAAAAAAAAAAAAAAAAAAAAATTACGAATGGCTATAAGACAGTGATCCAATGGATAAAAAAAATACAGTATTACATAAAACTTGCTTCTCTCGCGGTAGGTGGGACAATCGTTATGCGTGAAACCGTGTCCACCTTCATAATTTTTTAATTTCATATTCATTATTATTAAACTCTATGTTCATAATTACTGAACTATATGTTCATAATTATAAAGCTATATAATAATAATTTCTGAACATCATATTCATATTATTAAACTCTATTATTCATAATTACAAAACTCTATGTTCATAATTACTGAACTATATGTTCATAATTATAAAACTATATATCATAATTTTTAAACTTTATATTTATAATTTTTGAACTCTATATTCACAATTACAAAACTCTATGTTCATAATTACTGAACTATATCATCATAATTATAAAGCTTTATATTCATAATTTCTTAACTTCATAATCACAGTTATTAAATCTCTATATTCATAATTACAGAGTTATATGTTCATAATTATGTTCACAACTCTATGTTCATAATTATAGAACTATATGTTCATAATTTGTGAACTATATATTAATAATTATGAATAATTTTAAAACCGTGTTTACCTTGCAAGGTGGATACGGTTTCACAGCATAATTTGCCAGAGTGGGAGGTATAGTTTATTCACAAACAATTGACGTTTAGGTTGGAGTTTGGACTCATTGTGCATAGAAATGTACATTTTACTATTTTAGTATTTTTTTTTTTTTTTGAAAACTACTATTTTAGTATTGAGTGGGCTTGGAGGTGAAAAAATCGAGAAATCTGAATTAATAAGATAAAATATGAATTTTCTATTCATCCGTAATGTCCCAAAGAAACACGTTGTCCTATCTTATCTCGTGAACTCATTAAAGAATTTATATTCCATTTGTATCAATACACCTCAGTCTTGAAACAATATTAATGCACTTTGATACACACATAAGTTAATTAATTTTTTAAAGTCACCGACTAATCAAATATAATTGCATCAACATTACAACATCAAATTAATCATATTAAAGACAAACGAGCACAACTAGCTTAATTGGTGTGAGTAATTATACACTTCTGCCTTTTAAGAGAGGTTGCGAGTTCAAACTCCTTTTTTCATATATAGAAAAATCAATCTAACCAGCATGGTACGGGCTTAAAGGCCCCTCTTATTATGTGTAATTCCTTTATTAGAATTACAAATTATGATAATAATTTTAAAATGTTTGTTATTTGGTGCAACACTTGTAGTTACACTTCAATTAAGGTAAGGAGTTTGTTTAGTTTTAGGAGACCTTAGGACATACAACTACCGCATTGATGGCATGCGGCTATTTAAGGTTCCCTAGTCATCTCACTACTTACATTAATTTTTCATACACAATAATCTAGAGAAAGTTGAACAGGAGTGAGAGAAAACATCAGAGATATTCACATCGATTCTACAGCAACAGTTCACGACTATTCAACCTTCATAAAACGGAAGTTACTATTCAACCTTCATAAAACGGGAGTTATGGCTAGATATTAGTACATGTATTACGATTATTGGTTATCACGTAATTATGTGTCTACGTGACTTATCAGCTTACATAATATTGTTAGTTTTTCCAATTGTAGATGTCAAAGATTTTTTTTTTTTTTTGAGTGATGAAGAAATTCACAATTACTAATTGAAGGTGTACATTGGATAAACTCTGTTTTTGTGTAATAGCCAGCACGACAGAGAATGTGTTGAAAAAAATTTGATTATGTAACCTTCTAGTACAAGAATCATGCTACACCCACCCGATTATCCCTTTCGTAACAAATGTCATAACATGTTATACAAAAGGTGTTGGAATATTACGAAATAACTCCGAAATACAAGCACAAAAACAAAATATCACAAGTTACAAGTTCGAGTCGTATGACACTCAATACTTTCCTTAAAACTTTATTTGCTACATTCCTTAGGTATTAGGCATGTTGTATCCTAGATTTCCCAAGATAAAATGAAACTTATGATTTAAAAGTTGAGATTAAATCAAACAAACAAGAACACTAGTAGAACACATAAGTTTTTGAAGGGAGAAAAGCATTGATCTTTTTTTTTCTTTTTTTTTTTTTTTCTTTTTTTGAGAGAAAACTCTGTAGATGTGTATTGTGCTCAACCCGCCAAGGTATATATGGGAGATGATGGTTAAATAACATTTAACATGACATTAACACTTATTTGAAAATAAGTTTTTTACCTTCATAACAATAATGTTTAATGTGAAATTTAACATTGCGGTTACAAACGGTAATTCTAAAAATTAAAATTGGAATTAATCCGTATTAATTACTTAGGATAAGAATTAACGCTTTCTAGAACAGTACACTTGAAAAGTAAAATCAACTTTTCAAATGGAACCGAGAAGTCATCACTTTTTAGTAAAGTTGGAATTACTAGTCCACCAGCTGCCAATTTTCAAACGGTATTCGTGTACGCAGGTCGCGGGTGCACACGAGTCAAGCCTCAAGTTCATTATGGATTTGATTTGCATCCCTTGCGCGTGAGAGAGAATCACTTCTCTTTCCAATGTGAGACAAGCTAAGACTTCTTCCAAGCCTTTCCACCGTACCGTTATTTTCCAACTCAAATGGTTCTAATTTGAAAATCTAATTCTCATTCACTCATTATATATTTTGAGCGGATAATATATCAATTTCTTTGTCTCACTTCAAAGAACTTGAATCCACTTTGACCTGATCCAAATCGAAAGTGGACTTCACTTATATTTGTACCACAAAATAGCCATTTAAACAATCCCATATGGCC